GACTGCTTGAGCTCAGGAGTTCGAGACCAGCCTGGGCAACACGGCAAAACCCCGTCTTTACCAAAAAAATACCAAAAAAATTAGCTGGCCATAGTGGCATATGCCTGTAAGTCCCAGCTACTCAGGTGGCTGAGGTGGGAAGACCACTTAAGCTCCAGAGTCGGAGGCTGCAGTGAGCCGAGATCACGCCACTGCACTCCAGCTTGGGCAACAGAGCAAGACCCTGTGTCAGGAAAAAAAGGGGGGCTGGGTGCTCATGCCTGCAATCCTAGCACTTTGGGAGACTGAGGCAGGTGGATCACTTGAGGTCAGGAGTTTGAGACTAGCCTGGCCAACGTGGTGAAACCCCTCCTCTACTAAAACACAAAAAAATTAGCTGGGCATGGTGTTGCGCGTCTGTATTCTCAGCTACTTGGGAGGCCTCAGCCTCCTCGGCCTCAGCAGGAGAATCGCTTGAACCCAGGAGGCGGAGGCTACAGTGAGCCGAGATTGCACCATTGCACTCCAGCCTGGGTGACAGTGCAAGACTCCATGTCAAAACAAACAAACGAACAAACAAACAACAGGTCATTCATCTAGCACTGACTGAGTCGACCAGGCACCAGGCACTGTGTTGGGGCTAAGCACAGAATGTGAACAGAACTCCTATGTCTCCTGTGCCCCAGAGATGGAAGCACAGTGGTGGACACAACCATTTGTATAAAAACATCAATACACAGGTACGTCCATACTGACACACTGTGAGAAAAAGAACAGCAGCGTAAGAGAAAACATCAGAAGGGGCCCCCTGGCCCTTCAGGTGGTAATGAAGTGGTATCCAGTCCGACCCGGGAGGGGGGATGCCCAGGGAAAGGAGGAGCCTGCAGGTGCTCCTGCAAGCTGTGCTGCAAGGAGAAGCAGCACAGGTGCACAGGCAGGTGACAACAGACATGGCCTTCCAGCACCACCGGCCAGTGGGCTCAGGGCTCAGTGAGAGAGGAAGAGGAGATGGCAAGGCAGGCAGGCCACTCCACACAAGGCCAGGCAAGGCCTCTTAACGAATCTGGATGCAAGGGCCTCGCTTTTTTCTCCATCTTTCATTGTCTGCAAGCCCAGTGTGCTCCTCAAGGCAAACACTAAGAACATGTGCTCATTCAGCAAATCAGTTACAAACCAATGGCTACTTAATAAGCAAGGTACTGTTAAAATCTTGGCCCTCAAATTTTATAATTTGGTTTGTAGAAAAAAGGAACCAGACCATCCCATCCCATCTCAAACAAAACACAAAAAATCTTGAGACAAGAAAATATATATCCTGAGGCAGTATCTGATTAAACACCAAATGAAATGCTCAAGTCACATGGTCCACTGGAAGGGGAAATAATTCTCAGGTAAGCTGGTGATGACGGGTTTCCCAAAGAGGGCGGGACTCCAAGTAGAAACTGAAGTCTGGGGCGAACCGGGCTAAGCCACCTGGGAGGGTGGGCCAGGCACACGGAACAGGTGAACAGACATACGGGAGTAGGGACAGCAAGGCACATTGGGGAGGGGTAAGCACATAGAAAGGTTGAACCCCCCTACAACACACAACAGCCCATCCCGGGCAGCTCACCCCCATCCTCAGGGCCTTGGAAGCAGAAGGAAGATTCCCACAGGTCAGGACCCTGGGCTGGTCTCCCGGCAGACACACTTTGGGGCAGCAGGAGAAGGAAGGTGGGTAAGACTGTCTGCCCCAGGAAAAAGGGCAAGGGCAGAAAGATATGGATCTTATTCACTGTGATATAAAATTAAGTGCCAAGGAGGGAGAGGAAAGGGAGGAAAAAGAATCCAAGTTGTTGTAGTATTGTGCAACTGAAATTCCACGCATAAGCCAGGAAATTCAGAGGCCACAGTTCCCACAGCAGCTGTAACCTGACCCGTCAGCATAAGTAGCCTTTGGCACTGCCAGCCCCCAAGCGCCCGCAGTCCCGACAATGCCCGCACAGACCTGCCCTCAGGCCCCTGTGCGTCAGGCATGTCACGCCTTGCCCAGTTGGGCCCACATGGGCTGCCCACCTCCAGCTACAGGGGGCCCTCAACCATGCCCAGTAGTACTCAGTTCTTTAAGGAGCGTCCTGTGACTCCAAGCCTGCCTGCTGTGTGCCTTTACTCCTGACTCTTCCGCGGGGTGAGTAAGCCTCCTTCACCACTCAGATGGGAGGAAATGGGAGAAGAGAGGCCTGTGCATGCAGACAGAGGGCCTGCTGCCACCCTCTTCACTCATGTCCTGTGGCATCAATGCTTGCCAAGCCTCACCATGGGGAAAACAAGGGTTGGGGGAGGCCTGGGGAGGGAATGTTGTACTTCAAAGGACATCAGAACAGATGGCTCACCAAACGGGAGAAACTTTCTACCAGTCTCAAATCTGGTAAGAGACTTCTGTAGGGTATATAACTGAGCATATATATGATTCTTCCCCAGAAGGCCTGGGACACAGGCTTGGTCATCATGAGGCCCAGGATGGAGCCACACACAGGTCGTGACAGTGGAGGCAGCACAGGGCGTAAAGCTGATGGCCACAACCGACCCCTTCCAGCCCCACTGTGGAACCGGGGCAGCAGTTCAGAGTTTCGGTGTCTGCTACATGCAGAAGGGAGACCAACCAGAGCCAGGCTTAGACGCAGGCAATCATGGGCCCTTTCTAAAAGACAGACCAGCCACATGCAATGGCTCATACCTGAAATCCCTGCACTTTGGAAGGTCGAGGCAGGAAGATGAGTTGAGCCCGGGAGTTTGACACCAGCCTGGGCAACACAGTGAGATGCCATCTCTACAAAAAATTAGCCAGGCATGGTGGCACGCACTTGTGGTCCCAGCTACTGGGGAGGCTGAGGTGGGAGGATCATTTGCACCTAGGAGGTTGAGGCTGCAGTGAGCTGTGATTGCACTATTGCACTCCAGCAAGAGTGAGAAGCTGTCTCAAAAAAAAAGTAAATTAAAAAATGTTTAAGATAAATAAATAAAAGACAAGCCCCCTGAGCTCCTCCTCCTATTTAATTATCACAACAGAAAAGACTGAAGATTCACCCGGGAGATCGAGACCATCCTGGCTAACACGATGAAACCCCATCTCTACTAAAAATACAAAAAAAATTACCTGGGCGTGGTGGCGGGCACCTGTAGTCCCAGCTACTCAGGAGGCTGAGGCAGGAGAACGGCGTGAACCCGGGAGGCGGAGGTTGCAGTGAGCCGAGATCGCGCCACTGCACTCCAGCCTGGGTGACAGAGCGAGAATCCGTCTCAAAACAAAAGAAGTCTCTACAGCTAGGTAGTCTGTAACACTCTCATAACCTTTAACACGCAGAACTTACGTTTGGTGACTGTTCTAGCTTTTGCAAACTTATAATCCTTTGAAAGCAGAGCCTAAGTCACAAAAGCTCTTTAAAGCTTGCAGTGAGCCGAGATCGCGCCAGTGCACTCCAGCCTGGGTGACAGAGTGAGACTCCGTCTCAAAACAAACAAACAAACTCTATATATACATGTATTTTATCCAGCATGCCAATGATTTAAAATAAAAAGCCAGCCATAAACTGATGACTGCTAGGCACAGTGATTGCTTCCAGGCTTCTGGGAATAGCTGGAGGCTGGATACAAGTGCGTTGAGGTTATATTTAAGCAAAAGCCAAGAAAATGGGGCAGTGCTGTTTCCCACTGTAACCTTAACTCCCTTGTGTTATCTAATTAGATTTTCAGCTTTATTTACTCTAGTATAAGACATGGAATTTAACAGCAAGAAGTGAATTTGGGTTATGTGGACAAGTTACCAGAATGAAAAACTTACACTTTCTACCCTGATCCCCACAACATATTTTGGCAATCCACCTCTGCCTATATTGTTCAGCTAAGATTACAAAGAAATAAAACATTTAACTTACATACTAATGTTCTGTTGGCTGTCTTATTTGCTCCGGCTTTGAGCCATGTAGCACTCTTTTTTTTTTTTTTTTTTTGAGACTGAGTCTTGCTTTGTCGCCCAGGCTGGAGTGCAGTAGCGCAATCTCGACTCATTGCAAGCTCCGCCTCCCGGGTTCACGCCATTCTCCTTCCTCAGTCTCCCAAGTAGCTGGGACTACAGGCACCCGCCACCACGCCCGGCATATGCCACCACACCCAACTAATATTTTAATTTTGTATAGATGTGGGGTCTCGCTATATTGCCCAGACTGGTCTGGAACTGCTGGGCTCAAGGGATTCTCCCGCCTTGGCCTCCCAAAGGGTTAGGATTACAGGGGTGAACCACCGCACCTGGCCCCCAGCAAGTCTTTCTGAAGGTGCGTAATACGAGCTCTTGAGGAACAGGAGGAAGCATGGGATGTGGTCCTCTCTAGCAGTCTGGCTAGAGGCAGAATTAGCATTCATGAAACAGCAGCAGCTCAGGGCAGGGGAACGGAGATAAACTGGGAAATAAAGACGGTAAGGGCCTTTGGTGAAAGGTAGGACATTCTTCTGAGCTTCCAAAAGGAAATTGCTGCAAACTACTTTCCTGCCTTCCCATCCCGCAATCAGAATTAATGGCCTCCTCCACAGCACTTTGTTCAAATCTGCCTGCTACCACAGCAGACTGCACACACGTCTGGTTCCCTACCATGGAATACATTCCTAGTGGGCAAGGACACCTTTCGGCTCCCGGAAAACCATCAGCAGAGTCTTGAACACAGGAATTGGACAGTCTGTATTTGCTGAACTTAAGTATTTACTTCACAGCAATTATTACTTTAACACCCCTTGTCTGAAGCCTAAAAGTATCTGTGGCAACGGAGGGGACAACCCGCCTGACGGCAGAATCCTCAGGCTGTCAATGTGCCCTTCATGCAACCTCCAAAAAGCAGCTGTGCACTCCGGCCACACCCACTTTCTCCAGAGCGCCATGGTTTCCGCCTTATCACTCCGCGGAGGCACACCATCTGCCCGTCTGCTCCGCTGCCTCAGCCTCGCCCAGATGCGGCTATGCCGGCCAGTCACCCTCGGTTCCTGCTCAACTCCATCCTCACCTCCGACTAAGTGCCAGGTCTTGCACTTTGGCTGGGCCTGCCCTGGCCCCCATCAGTGCCCTGCACACTTGGAGGCGTCTGTGCTCATCTGTCTATCGGTCCTCCCCAGACACTGTGGACTGCAGGAGGGCAGTATTTATTTCACCCACTGCGGTACTGTGCTAGTAAATGCTTAACAGACTGGTCTCCAAAAACATGTGCATGTATTTATATGGACAGACATTTATTTTCAATTTTAATTATATAAAAGATATGCCACACACAATGGTAATAAAATATACAATATAGTAATAAATATATATAAAATACACAATTATATACTATAATAAAGCATATAGGAATAAAATCTATAATACTCTTCATTGTAAATTCCACAGAGCCAACTGATTCTTCCAGAAGGCTTTTCTAGATTTTTTTTTTTAATTTGGTCCAACTGTTACATCTGTGGCCATTTACTCTACTTTAAGGAATAAAACAAAACTGAAAGAAGATAAAGATCAATCATGATATAAACAACTTCTCTGCTGAACTGGACACTAGTTTCAAATACCAGAAGAATATTTACTCAATTTTCTTGTACTATTCACAATATAATGGCTATAGACACAAAACACTGTAAGTTTAAACTGCAATGTCAACATTTTCTTCATCACTTTCTTAGACAACGAATAAAACAATAAACCCAGCCCTAATGTGTCATGTTTTCGAGTGTCCATGGTGTAAATGCTCCCACCGAGGCTAATGTCCAGACCCCAATGTGACATATCTGAGTGCAGACACAGTTGTGAAGAGATGCGTACAGCACATCACTACATGTCTCTACCAGACACCTCAGATGGGATGGCACAGGTGATGCTAAGGTCACGAGGAAGTGATGAGTTTTGAGTATTTATTACCTTTGTCTTTATTATAATTCATTTAATTATAATGGCGGCAGTTAACAACCCACTTGCAAAATTCCTTAAGAGACGGGTGAGGTGGCCCACACCTGCTGAGGTACACGGATCGCTTGAGCCCAGGAGTTGGAGACCAGCCTTGGTAACAGCGAGACCTTGCCTCTACAAAAAATTAACAAAATTAGCAGCGAGTAGTGGTGCCTGCCTGTAGTCCCAGCTACTTAGGAGGCTGAGGTGAGAGAATCGCTTGAGCCTTGGAGGTCAAGGTTGCAGTGAGCCGAGACTGCACCACTGCGCTCCAGCCTGGGCAACAGAGCAAGACCTTGTCTCAAAAAATAAAAAAAAAGTAACAACAGGGTATGGGCTGGCTCTGGTAGTCCACGGCTCACTACTGAATTCCCAGCATTCAGCACATGAAAGGTGGTGACGGCACTTGTGGAAACACAGCGCAGCCCCGCAGTGGCTGCACTCCTGAAGTCTGTGCTCCAAAGGGAATCCAGGCTTTCCCACAGCCGGGCATTGGAGGAACCACACATGTAACACGTTATCTTTTCAAAAATGGGGGAAAATGCCATTTTTAAAACTTAGCATAAGCTGAAATAGAAAACGTTTTCTTGGCCAGGCGCGGTGGCTCATGCCTGTAATCCCAGCACTTTGGGAGAGGTGGGTGGATCAAGAGGAAAGGAGTTCAAGACCAGCCTGGCCAAGATGGTGAAACCCTGTCTCTACTAAAAATACAAAAATTAGGCAGGCACGGTGTCAGGCGCCTGTAATCCCAGCTACTCGGGAGGCTGAGGCAGGAGAATCGCTTGAACCCAGGAGGCAGAGGCTGCAGTGAGCCAAGATGGCACCACTGCACTCCAGCCTGGGCAAAAGAATGAGACTTCGTCTCAAAAAAGAAAATAAAATTAAAAAGTTTTCTTTAATACATTCTCCCTGAGGTATTTCTTCTACAAAAACACTTAGGCAGCGGGGAAGTGCATTTTAAATCCTTCAACAGTCTGACTGGGTTTAGCACCCTGGGTGGCGTCAGTCATAGAGTATTCCTTAAAGCTTGTGAGCTCGGCTCCTGATCTGGAAAGGACAGACTCCAAAAAGTACCTCAGACCCAGAGAACCTTGGGCTGAGGATGCAGCCTGGGAATGCCTCTGGGCCCCATGGGTCTCTTCTAGCTCAGTCAGTCTCTCTCATTCTCTCTTGTTTTTTTTTTTAGAGAAGGGGTCTCTTTGTTGCCTAGGTTGGTCTCTCCCGTCTTGGCCTCCCGAAGCGCTGGCATTACAGCTGTGAGCCACCGCATGTGGCCAGTCCTGTCTCTTCTTACATTGCTGCACCACCTTCCCCTCAACCTCCTTGGGTCTTCACCCCTCCCCGTTTCCCTGGGACCCTTCCTGCACCCCCCTAGACTGGCTTTGGCCCTTGGCTTCCCACCATCCTTCCCACTCTTTAACAACCAAGGGTCTTAATTCCACCTGCTGTTGTCACTAGTGACTCCTAAGTCCACACGGGACTACAGTACACTCATCTCTACCTATTATCCTCATGACAGAACCTTGTGCACCCCGAGGATGGAGGCCGGCAGCGTCCTTCAGACTCAGCTGCACCTCCGAACTCTGACTCTGTGCTCCCAAGCACGAGGCTGAAGCTAAACCTGCCTCCTCAGAGTCTCTACGCAGCTTTCCTCCCCAGAAGACAGCGCTGCTGGTCCCACTCCAGGCCTCTTGGTCCACGTCTCTTCTCTGTGCCCAGTCACTACCCTGTCCTCCCCACCCCACCCTTCAGTGGACACTGTTCCACACTGCCCGCCACACCTTCATCCTCTCTGGACACCTTCACACTGTGCCACTTTCTGTGGAAGCACCCTATGCTAGGGTGCCCTATCAGACTCCGAGAGAATATTCTTGTTCCCAGGAAACAGACACTGAAGGATTCAGGAGTTAAGGGGGACATTTTCACTAATTCACAAATTGTTCTGGGAAAAAAAAATTCAAAGAGAAGAAAAAAATATGAAAAAGCAAATGGGGTAAAACGCAAACCACTGGTGACTCTAGGTGAAGGGTAAATAGGAACTCATGTACTATTCTCAAACTTTTCTGAAACTATACCAAAATAAAGCTGTCCCCCAAAAATCCAAACCCTCACCTTAGCATCAAAGTTCAACAATCAACAGCTCTTCTTAGAAACCACTCCTGCCAGGCAAGTTCCATCTCTCCGACATCTTGTTTCTGCCCCTGCTCAACACCTAGACTCAGGATTTCCCCGGTCCCTCCCTTGAACCCACTTCCTCCACTGCCCGGAGAGCCAGTTCCCAACTCCTTTATTCCAGGGGTGCTGAGAAAGGAAAAGGAACTAACATTCCCCAACCATCTGCTGCCAGCCAGGCCAAGACTGCACTTGGCACATACTGTACAGTGTTTCACCTAATCCTGCGTACGCCTCTGCGAGAAGGGCCTCCCCAGAGACTCCGAGAGATGAAGACAGTGGTCCAAGATTACGCGGCCACCAATGCAGAGCTGGAACAGGGACCCAGTGGCCTGCGCCATCCACAGCACTGACCCATACCCCACCGCTCCCTGACGCCTTCCCAGACCACCCCCCACCCCCCACCCAGTCACTTGTTCAGTGAACACAGATGGGCTGCTCTGCCCCATGTCCTGCTCTAAATGCTTAGGGATCTGTCAGAGAACAAAACAAATAGGGTTTCTGACTTCATGAAGCTTCTATTTTTGTGGAAGACGGACAATAAAAGCTGTATTTATTAAACACTTACATAATACAGCTCTGACTCCATGGCAGGTGTTAATGCTATGAATTTTATAAATATAAATTCACTTGATCCTCACAAAACTTCTGAGTTAGGTATTATTCATACAAATGAGGAAACCAAGGCCAAAGGGGTTAAATAATCACCCAAAGCCATATGAGTAGCAAGTGGTGAAGTCACAAATCAACCCCAGGCAGCCTGTCTCCAGAGCCCGGGCCCTGCCACCTCTCAGTAAGCATGAGCAAGCAACACAGCACGCTAGAGGGTCAGTGCTCCGGAAAAACGGAGAGTAAAGCAGAGTACAGGGAATCCGGAGCACTGAGGGAAGGAGACACACTGACATTTTACACTGGGGGGCATGAGGATTCCCAGAGGAGGTAACATCTGAGCGAAGGCATGAAGGGTTGAGGGAGTTCGCATGCAATATTGCAGGAAAGAGTGTTTCAGGGAGGGGGAGTCTGTCCCACAGCCCTGACGCAGGGTGTGCCTGGAGCATGGGAGGAAGGTCCAGGAGGGAGGGAACAGCCCCTGCCTTTTGCGCAGCAGAATACCCACGCGTGCTGCGTGCCTGATTCCCTGCCTCCCTGGTGCCCACATTGCTCTTTTAGTATTCACCTTGACTTCCAAAGTGAACCGTGAACTCTGAGAACAGAGCCCATGACCTCTATCTACTCCCTCTACTTGTCCCTGGTACTTTCAAGCTGGTGTTTGCTGGATTTGTCTGCCTTGCCTTGCGGATTCCACAAAACTACAAGGTCCAGAGGATGAGCAGGTCCTGCCAGGGAAGCTTCTGACACCTCTGTCACTGGTCCTCCTACACTAGTAGTGAGCAGTAGCCTCTGCCTGGGGCGGGGGGGGAAGCAGCAGTAAGTAAACGGCACTTGTATTCTGTACTTTTTTTTTTTTAGACGGAGTCTCACTCTGCCACCCAGCACCCAGGCTGGAGTACAGTGGCGCGATCTCGGGTCACTGCAAGCTCCGCCTCCCGGGTTCACGCCATTCTCCTGCCTCAGCCTCCCGAGTAGCTGGGACTACAGGCGCCCGCCACCTCGCCCAGCTAATTTTTTGTATTTTTAGTAGAGACGGGGTCTCACCGTGTTAGCCAGGATGGTCTCAATCTCCTGACCTCGTGATCCGCCTGCCTCAGCCTCCTGAGTAGCTGGGACTACAGGCGCCTGCCACCAGGCACGGCTAATTTTTTGTATTTTTAGTAGAGACGGGGTCTCACCGTGTTAGCCAGGATGGTCTCGATCTCCTGACCTCGTGATCCGCCTGCCTCAGCCTCCCAAAGTGCTGGGATTACAGGCGTGAGCCACAGCACCCGGCCGTATTCTATATTTTCAAAGCATGCCTGCCCAATTCTATATTCAAATTTTATTCCCAGCAGGCCCCTTTAAACTGGTAGGCAGCCAATTCCACCCTACTTGA